GAACCCGCGGGCTCAGGCAATCCACTCACCTCGGCCTCCCAAAGTGCTGGGATTATAGGCTGAGCTACCGAGCCCGGCCTGGAGCAAGTATTTAATGGAGCAATTTTTTACTCTTTGTGAATAATAAAACAAGCAGAGGCTACTTGAGAACTATTTATATGTGAAACAGAAAAAAGAACTACCTCCCTCCTGACTTTGCTGAAATTCTATTTTTCACTGTCCTCATGCTGGCCAGATATCATATGACACTTTATCTGAAGAAATCAAGAGGATTCAGCTGACATACATGTGATAGTTAAGTATAGTACAATTGGTTATAGGCATACATGCTGATTTTAAACAGAACTGGGTTTTAATTTGAACTTCTTCATATATCAGATGGTTATTTAACTTCAGTAGTCTCATTTTTTAAAAAAAATCTATAAAATGGGTATAACTGCCTACTAAAGAGAAAAGAACTGATTTAGGGAGAAGAGATTAGTTTCAAAGTGTTTTTCCTATTTGTAGGTTTATGAAAAATGTTAAATTCTGCAAAAATCATAAAATGCTGAAACTGAACAGGAATTTAGAAGTCATTTGGTCCAATGCTATGATTTTATAAATGAGGAAAATAAGATCTGAAAAAGTCAAGAGGCATTTCCAGGATCACAGAGAAGTTGGCAGTGAAAGACCAGTGATTTCTTCCCACTTCATGGAAAACTCATCTTAAAATAAGAATTGTAAAGATGTTTTCACCTTTTTAGTTTTGTTTTATGGAAAATATTTCAAGATTAAATCTTTCTTAGAGATACCATGGAGAAATAGTTAACCCAAAAGACATTTTTCTAATTCCAAGATTTTATGTCAGAATCCGTGTGCCAGTTTAAAAATTTTTCTCCAGATGTGGTCAATGCCACTTAGTACTTGATAGCATAGTATGGTATATATTGACTCTATTCAGTTAACATGGTTGCATTACCATCTTCAGTTATACTTTATTTTTAAGGATTAAAAAATAGTATTATTTTAGTAAGTGTATGTTCTATTTCTTAGATGTCGCCCGAAGAAAAAGTTTGTAAGTACTGTGGAGTCAGCTATCTAATTCTTCATGAATTTAAGGCTATGGAAGAAAAAGTGAAAGCAATGGAGAAAAAGATGAAATTTTATCAAGGAAGTGTAGAACGTGAAAAGAAACTTCAAGAAAAACTGCAGTCTCTTAGCCAAGATTTTGAACAATACAAAATTGACAACGAATCCAAAACAGAGAGGTTGGAGTCTTATTTTTTTTTCTATCATTTATTTAATTTGAAAGAAAACCACAGGAAGTAGACTTTGAATGTTTTTCTAGAATTTCTATTTTGGATATAATTCACACTTTAATACATTTGGGTGTGCTCACTAATTATATTAATAAGTACTAAATATACTTATTAATTTTAATTTGAAGCTTTCTTTTCAGGCACATATTTACTATCTGAATAATTAGAAACCAGTTAATTCAGTAACTATAAGTTGAGAAGGATCAAGTTTTTTTCCAAGATATATATCTTACTTTTATTATTAGGAAGATTTAATCAATCAAAAGTAAGATGAATTTTGGTAGCTTTTGATACTAACAGTTATTTTTAGATTTATAGAATCAGGCTTTCATGTTTTGAAAAGGATGCTAAGATATTAGTGCATGATTTAATATTATTGCATGATTTTGAATTATTGAAATTGGAATAAAATTAAAGAATGGATTATTATTATTATTATTATTATTATTATTATTTGAGTTGGAGTCTCACTCTGTCACCCAGACTGGAGGGCAGTGGCCGCTCCCATCCACCACAGCCTTGACCTGCTGGGCTCCGGTGATTCTTCCGCCTCAGCCTTCCGAGTAGCCGGAATTACGGGCGCGCACTACCACGCCTGGCTAATTTTTTTTTTTTTCATTTATTGTAGAGATGAGGTCTCGCCAAGTTGCCCATGCAAGCTCGGCTAAGAATGGATTCTTAACACTGTAAAATCTAATCAGCAATTTAGTTTTCCTAAAGACGCTTCAGTGAGCTCCTACAGAAGGGTTTTTGATGGTATTTTAATTATGGTTTTTCCTTTTTTCCTACAAATGAAAATTTCTCTATTTCAAGTATTGACAGTTGATGTTAGTAAACCGTGAGTTAATGAACCTAATGTCTATCATGTCTGTGTAAAAGTAGAAACTTTCTTAATCTCTTAGTATGTTAAGTACTTTTATTAAACTATATTATGAAATTTTATGTAAAAGTGTATAATTACATTAAATGCCAATTAAGCAAGCTATTTCTTAAGTCCTTTATCAATAAAATTTTGTTGTTATAAGTTCTTCAGAGCCAGGCTCGGTGGCTCAGTCTGTAATCCCGTGCTTTGGGAGGCTGAGATGAGTGGATTGCCTGAGCCCGTGGGTTCGAGACCTGCCTGGGCACTTGGCGAGACCTCATCTCTACAATAAATCAAAAAATCAGCCGGGCGTGGTAGCGCGCGCCTATAGTTCCAGCTACTCGGAAAGCTGAGGCGGAAGGATCACGGGAGCCCAGCAGGTCAAGGCTGCGGTGGCCGGGAGCGGCCACTGCACTCCAGTCTGGGTGACAGAGTGAGACTCCAACTCAAAAAAAAAGTTCTTCAACTTCAAATCTGAATAAGAAATATAATATTTGCATGGAAAAAAATTAAAAATGTGAAGCATTGTTTAAAAATGTTCTGTTGGAGGGTTTTTGCCTATCAAGGATTCTTTGGTTTGGTATTATTCACATTTTCTTTAATAAAATGTTGTATTATACAAGTAATAGATAAACATATGAAGTAAAAGAAGTATATAGAATAAAAGGCAGGAAAATTCCTTTTTATCTGGCTGATTGTATTCTTACTGGAGGTAAAAGCACTTTTATTGGTTTGGTGTCTATCTTGCTAGATCCATCATTGTGCCTTTACCTTTATTATGGATGTATTTCCTTAATATATATAGTTTTATATCTTTATGCTTCATTAGATTTGTTTTTAGCATAAACAGCATATTTAACACATTGTTCTGTGACTTACATTTGCCACTTAACTGTGATATTGGAAAATGTTTCATGTTAATGCATGTACATCTACTTTGTTCTTGACTTCAGCAACATTTTCCCTTCTAAGAATATGCTGTAATTTACTTAATCGTTTATCTTTTCAACATTTACATTATTTGCAAATTTTATTATCTATACTATTTATATTTATATTCTTGTGAACATTTGTTTTTCCATAGGATAAATTTCTAGAAGTGACACCGCTGAAAGAAAGCAAATACCAGTTTAAAATTTTGATGAGTATTATACCAAATAGTCCTTTGAGAAGGTAGCATTAATTTATATTGGGTTAATAGTTTATGAAGTGGCTGTTTCCTATATTTTGTTAATAGTGGAGTTTTCTTGATTTTTCTCAATCTCGGGTGAAAAATAATGTTACTTGGTTAGTATATGTGTATTTCTTTTTTGCTAATGAGGCTAAACATTTTTTCATGTTTATTAGACATTTATATGTCTTCTATTGGTTACATATATATATATATATATATATATATCACCCAATTTTATTGGGTTGTTTATTTTTGTTTAAGTTTTTTTAGCATAATATTGGCATTATACCTTGTTTATATATATTGTTAATATTTTTTCTCATGGTTGCTTGTCTTTTTACTTTGTTTATTGTATTTTTTGCTGTAACTTAAAAAATGTTAAATGATAGTCTATGCCAAATTCTGATTAGCTAGGAATCTTTTGGTTGCAAACAACAGAAACTTACTCTAACACTAACCTAAACACAAAAAGGAATTTATTCGAAGATCATAGGTGGTAGAGAACTCGTTGAAAGAAAGGAAAAACTCAGGTACCTTGCTTCAGAAATGTACAGGAAACGGAGCTTATTCAGATATCTGGAAAGTCTCTTTGGGGTGAATTAGCTCAACTTTTTTCTTCCTTGTGTTTCCCTTCAAGATTCAAATCCCCAAAGAGAGTCACATTGGCTTCATTTCAGTTACATAACTTCTCCCCACCTCCACTAGCTTAGCCTGAGAAGGAGTGGGGAACTTTGATTAACAGTTCTACGAAGACATCATACAATGAAGGCAAAGGTATTCATTCACTAAAAAGAAATCTAGAGTATTGTTATCAGAATGTCTATCAATGAGTCAGTACTGTACTTGTAACTACTTTAGCTTTAAAATATGTTTTGATAGTTTATAGGTCAAGCCTTTCTTTTGCTTTGTTTGGCTTCTCTATTATATTTTCTTTTCTGGAACTCTAGAATCAGTTTGTCAGATTTCCATAAAACATTCTGTGTTATGATTTAGATTGGGATTGCATTTACTTTCTAGAGCAATTAGATATTTTGAGAATTGAAATCTTTGTAATCTTGAGTCTTCTTATTCAAAAACATGGTCTTTCCCCCCATTTATTCAGTTGTTCTTGAAATCCTTCAATAAATTTTTATAATTTCCTTATATATTCTATATTAGATTAACCCCTAGATATATGATTTTTGTTGTTATTGGAAATAGAATCTTTTAAATTTTTTAACTTTTCTGAATGCTATCAATTTTTCTATCTAGTTTCCTTAATGAATTCTTTTATTAGGAATATGTGTTTTTCTGTTGATTTTCTTGAATATGTATCATATATTCATAATATAAACACATACATAAAACCGTCACATCATATGCAAATAATACCTGTCTTATCTTTTTGTTTCCAATAGTTATACCTTTCCCCTTTTTCTTTTTCTTGTCTTATTAAATTGTATTGGACCTATAGAACCGTGCTAAGTAGCAAACTTGTTACTTGATCTTTATTTCTCATTTAGAGTAAACCTGTCCAGTGTGTTTCTATGTTGAATAGGATCTTTGCATTAGGTTTATTAAAGATGCCTTGTATCAATTTAAGGAATTTCTCCTTTTATTTGTAGCTCTTTAAGATTTATTTTTAAGTCAGAAATGGTTATTGAATTTTAATAAATGCCTTTCTATCTTCTATTGGGACGGTCACATGATTTTTCTCCATTACTCTGTTAATCTAGTAAATAATACTAATGGATTTTCTTTTTCTAAAATTTATTTTATTTTTAAGGATGTGGCATACAATTCAGGATTAGGTATACAAGTGGTCATCATGCAGGTAAAGTTTGGGTCTACCTTTGGTTCCCATTTTGCCTGGTTTGAGATCAGGTACTCTTATTAATGTTATGTGCACCCCTCCTCCCCTGGCAATTTCTGGCTACTGCCAATTCCTTTCTTATAATTACTAATGAATTTTCTAATGTGAAGTTATACTGTCCTAATATGAAGCTATATTTTTGGTATAAAACCATTTGATCACAGTATGTATTTTAGGGCTCTCTAAATCTTATATATTTGCTTTCCTTCTTCATGGTTCTTGCTGCAGTTATAAGTTCTCTGTACTATTTTTCTGTAAATTTTTCCGTATTTATATGTATTTCTATGTGTATAATAAATACAAAATATCACTTGCTATAAATAGGAGACTAAACATACATATATAATTACAAGTTGAATATGTCTTATCCAAAAGGACTGGAGCCAGAAGTGTTTGGGATTTTGGATTTTTTTCAGATTTTGGAATATTTGCAGAAAACATACCAGTTGAACATCTAATCTGGAAATCCAAAATCTGAAATGCGCTAATGAGTGTTTCCTTTGAATGTCATTTGAATGCTTACAAAGTATTGGATTTTGGAGTGTTTCTGTATTAAAAAAAAGAATATTTTGTCTTTGTAACACGATAATAATTGCCCATACGTCTAATGATATATGAAGAGCATTGTTTTACACAGATATTTGCATCTATGCTCATAGGTGAGATTGGCCTGTGCTTGTAGTTTTCTTTTTTTGTATGTGTGTCATAACCTGGCTTATCATAGTTTTTATAATAAGTGAAGAAGCCAGCCAGGCTCAGTGCCTCAGCCTGTAATCCCAGCACTTTGGGAGGCTGAGGTGAGTGGATTGCCTGAGCCCGCAGGTTTGAGACCCACCTGGGCAACTTGGCAAGACCTCATCTCTACAATAAATCAAAAAAATTAGCCAGATATGGTGGTGCTTGCCTGTAGTTCCAGCTACTTGGAAGGCTGAGGCGGAAGGATCGCCAGAGCCCAGCAGGTTGAGGCTGCGGTGGCTGGGAGCAGCCACTGCACTCCAGTCTGGGTGACGGAGTGAGACTCCAACTCAAAAAAAAAAAAGTGAAGAAGCCTTCTATCTGTG